GACATAGCAGAGACTAACCTTCCCTGCCTCAGTGACATAATTCCACACTCGTGCCCCTGCGCACTTGTTCTGCCATCCAGGGGCTCTGGGATTGTAGCTGAAAGGGAGGCCACCCTTGTCAACTCAGACTCCACCAAGATACATGACGCAGCGGCTGCATTTGAAATTGTCAATTTGCAGACACTCTGATGCGATTACATGCGGTTAGAAAGAGATCACGATCCCTAGACGCATCAATTGTGCGTCCAGGGATACAGATCTTCCTAACCGCATGTCATCATGTCACATACAATCACATGCGGAGTGCCAGCAGATTGACGCTTTGAAATGCGCCCATCGTCACCCCGATCATTAAATTGAATGTGTGACAGCAGCTGCTTCTAAACAGCATATCTGGATTCCTGCCACAGGAATTCATAGGTTCCTGCAAGAGGAATCTCAAAAAACACCTTCTATGTGCGTATGAATGTAGCCTTATTATATCTGCAGTTTCCAGCAACTTGCAATGATAGTTATGTCTAACAATCATGCCCTATTACATAGTTTTTCCAAGAGAGACAATTTGGCATAACCCTGTCAATTTATGGCAGTTTACCTGAATATAAAATTTGGTTGAGCTGTATATAAAGTGAGAGAGACTCTTATGCGTACAGTATACATGTAAAATGCTTATTTTAAATTCTTAGTGCTGAATAAAGATTATGTTTTCTGATGCACATGATGTTAGAGAACACTATATTAAACTGTTTACTGTTTGATAGCTGTTTACTACTAAAGCAACCATATCAAATATCTCTGCATGATTATTACTGCTGATAACATAGCAAGCATCAGAACACTTTGGCTTTCCATAACAGCATGAAAATATAATTGGGATGAAGCAATAGTTACCTTGACGGTCTGATGACAAGTGAGCCCCCTAGTGGCAAGGTTGGAAACAGCTTTGTAAGGAGGGAAAGCCTTCATTATTCCCTTGCTGTATTTTGCATAACGTTACCTAGGATAAACAATCCAAGAAAGGCAATGTTTTGGTTTCTATTACGATATCGTTAAAGCTCCCACATTCCTACCAATTCACCAAGTGTGATATTCCTACACAAATTTGGAGGTATTCCCTACAGACATGTTAGATCACTCACGCAGCTGGGCGGATCCAGACATATTTGTCGGGATCTGCTTCAGCTGCGGCGTCTCGGTATACCACGAGCTGTAGCTCACGGTATACTGAGCTTTGGTTGACTGGGAGGACGCTAGTTTGTGACGTCCCGTTACCCTGAGAACTTTAAGGAGACTCCTATCACCAACTTCAAAAATTGCAAGTAAAAGCACAAAAAAATCATTTTAAAATGCTTACTTATTGTTTTTCCGGTTCATCATTTTTTTTTCTTTTTGCTTTGAACTTGTTACAAAATTTTATTTCTCAATAAAACATAAGTCCTCAACTTGTGTAACTAGATCGATTGTTTATGGACTGTATACTAATAGAGTCAAACAAGCTCCAGTTAAACTGGTGATTAATCCAAAGATGTATGCACCGATCCTGCAGCCTGGTTGGTTTGATAGGGAAACATCCATGTTACAGCACTGTGAAGAAAACATTAAAAACCGGCACACAGATTTAAGTGCAGTATAAAAGTGACTGTTTAATAAAGGTTTGAAGTAATGCACTTTCAGGATATTTAAAAACATCTTGCCTGTCACACATCAGATGAAAGTTCGATCTCAGCTGCTGGTCCAAGATTGTTATCAGGATAGATGGCACATGGAGAGAGCAGAGTCCATCCAGTCCAGAAAGATTCCAGAACACCTGTGCTGGAAGTCACAGATCTGATCTTGCCAAATGTGCCATTTTCCACCGATATGTTCCGGCAGCCGAAATTTTGGTGCATCCCTACTATAAAGTGTCACTAAAGTGGCAGCACTAAATCTGTTGGGGCTGATGACATCACATCCAAGATGGTAGCACTCTAAAGCAGTCTCAGGGCTTTTGGATGTCTACACAAGAGGCTTTTACAGGTAAATAACAAGATGCAAAAAATAAATTCAATGCACATAAAACCACATAGGAATATTGTTGCTGGAATGAATGGTCTAGTGTCAAGAGTCTTTTTACTTAATATTTTTGACAAACTATATATGCATTGCCACGGGAGACAGTCCCATAGAAGTCTATTGGGAGCAGCCAGAGGATTACAGGAACAGGATATCAACATTGCAATAGGGTGGGTGTGTATAAATCCAAACACAAACATTTCCTAGCACACTAGCCTTTTAAAGTAAGGCACTTTCCGCAGTACAAACACAAATTTTCCCAGCACATTGACCATCTAGCCGACGCAAAAAAAAAACCCCATACACGGTCTAATAATTTGCATTAAAAACAGAGGTTTTAGTTAAACAATATTTGCAAAATATGTTGAGGTCACATTGCCTCGCCAAGTCCCCTCTGTGTAGTATGTTCCTAAAGCTGACCATACACAGATTTTTGAAAGAACTTTCTTTCGACTTTCTATTAGTCGATGGGGTCAAATCAAGAATCGCTTTCGCAGTGACAAAAAACCTCAAAAGGATCAGGATGGAAATTTATCGAACAAGCGAAATTCTGAATGTGCTTTTTGTTCCAGACACTCCATTCATTCCAAAATCAGATGTTATCAAATTAAATTCCGATCAACTTTCGACAAGTGTGCGATGGCAAAGAATGATCTTTCTTTGGCCAGCTTTACTCTAACTCTATGCGAGCCTCCATCTTAGAGCCTACGTACCAATGGATAAACTGAGCGCAGGTATGCCTGGAGGTAGCCCATCCCTTTTTGTTTTTGCAGGCTAGCTGATAAGTGTGCTGAGAAATATTTGTGGAAAGCCCTTCCATGTGCACCTTACTTTAAAAGGCTAGTTCTCAATTGATTTGTGCAGTTTTCATTCTTGTTTAGCTTGTGTGTAAATCCAAAATGACTAAAAATTCATATAAACGTTGTTAATATGTTAATGTATTTTAAAAATGAATTTAATTTTTTTTTTAATCTGCAGCTTTTATTAAAATAATACTTTGTAATCCTGCCATGAATGTCCTGTATCACAATCGATTGCCTGTTTGCTCACCCACACAGCAACAATGAAGAGGTAAGTATTGCAGCCAAAACTGTTTTTTTTTTAAATTTTAACTCAATTTTTTTATATTTCCCCAAGCTGGACTTGGGATTTAAATAAATATATGTAACGATGAATTCATGAATACAGAGTTGCATTAATATGTCTTTTACTTCTGCCTGGAGTACAGCTTTCAAGCATTTACATCATCACTGAGATTAGATAAAATGTAAATCATTTTTAAAACATTTGTTAATATTTTAGAAATCTTGTTTTATGTAAAGTTCTTGATTATATTTGTGCATATTACATAAGTAGGCTCCATTTCCTGTGGAGCCGCTTTTCTTACCCATATGGTCTGTTTATTCATGTGAAGTGGAATTTATAATTATAGGTCCACTGTAAAGAGCCAGGGAGTATGTGCTTTTTTCACAATGGTAGGGACAAAAAGTCAGGCTTTCATTTTTACAAGAACTGGCTACTGGGTCTCTCATTCCTGGTTGCATATTAATCATTAATACATACAGACAAAATTTGTTGGTACCCTTCCACGCAAAAAGAATAACCCACAATTGTCTTTGAAATAACCTGAAACTGACCAAAGCAATTGGCATCCATTAATGTTTATTCCATATTTATTATAAAATCAGACTTTGCCTTAGATTTTTTTTATTTAACAGAATATTTTTAAATAATAAAACAAATAAAAAAATGGTATGTGCACAAATAGTGGGACCCATAATCCAATACAGTGGTACCTCGGTTCACGAACGCTTCTGATCACGAACAGGAAGTTCAGCAAAATTTTGCTTCCGTTCGCGAACTCCGCATCGGGTGACGAACACAACTGCAGCCATCTTCCCTGCTCTGACATTGGTCGTGGCTTCCTCTAGTCGCCGTCTGATCAGTTTGATTTGGTTCACGACCAGAATCGTGGAACGAATTAAGTTTGTGAACCCAGGTACCACTGTATTTTGTTGCACAACTTTAGAGGCATTCACTGCAAATACGAGATTTCTGAAGCCCTCAATGAGACTTCTGCATCTGCCAACAGGTAGTTTGATCCACTCTTCTTGAGTAAACTGCTCCAGCTGTCTCAGGCTTGAAGGTGTCTTCTCCAGACTTCATGATTCATCTCTTTCAATAGGATTCTGCTCAGGGCTCATAGAAGGCCACTCAAGTATAATCAATTGTTAGGTTCTTAGACATTCTTCTGACAATGGGCAGTACGTTTTACTCCAGGATTCCCAGACAGTCTTTAGATTTCATTGTGCCCAGCACAGATTCCTCATGCAAGACAATGCAAAGTAGCCCCAAAACATAACCAAGCCTCCTCCATGTCTCACAGTAGGTGTGGTGTGCTTTTCTTTGAAAGCTTACTTTTCTTGGTCTGTGAACATAGAGCTGACGTGACTTGCCAAAAGGTTGCCTCATCTGTCGTAAAGACATTCTCCCAGAAGAATGATGCTTGTCTTCTACTGGGTCTTTCTCCTTTGAGCCCACTGGAGCCCAAAAGGCAACAGATAGTGCAGTCACAAATGGAAAACCAGCACTCGAATGTGAAATCATCAGTTCAGATTTATTCACAATGTGTCACATAAGTGGACAATGTGGAATGAAACATTGTTTCAATAAGCTGTAAGGGTACCAACAAACTTGTCAACGTCTGTAGTCACCAATCTCAAATTAAAAAAGGCTGCAAGTTCAACTTTTTGAAAAAATTTCAAGGTTTATTTAACAATAATGCACCACAAACAGCATGTTCACTTACTTGCAACTCAAATTCTTTGAAAAAAATAAATAATTACTGTCCATTAGAGACACTGATTGAGGGTCTGCTTGTAGATTCCCCAAAGGAAATACAGAGCACAGTACACAGACCTTCAGATGTAGAGATCACAATCTGTGTAGAGGAAAGAAACAATAGAATCCAATGATGAACTGGCTGCAAAATGAATGTATTATAACCCAAACCAGTCATTAAGTCCCCCTCTGCGAGGATCACTACGCTGACGCTGTTTTTCATTCTCCACGAATTCTGATTGGATTTGGTCAAATGAGCCTGACTCAATAGCGTCTTCCTTCTCTGGAAAGAGATCTGGGAACTTGAAGGTTTGCCCTTGGCCCTGCAGAAATGGAGCAAAGAATCAGGCTGAGAGGTGTTGGATAAAGCCAAGAGGTTCTCAACACATTAATGATGCAATGTAATGGTGTTACAACACAGAAATCAAAACACGTTACACTGACAATAGGTGCCAAATGGCTGAGCACATAAAAACGACCAGTCAAAGGGATAATGCAACCACACTGATGTCATGGTTTTAGAGTATGGGCGCTAAGCAGAAAAACAAAGAAGCAGCACAGGCTGAGATGGTTAACATTATATCAGGATCGCAGGCACATCACAGGAAATATTAAAGCTCTGAATCAGAGTCATTTCTAACTCAATCCAGGAGCAATGTCTGTTATAAACACACATTGCATTACAATACAACCCTCATTTTCAAAGCTCAGAACATCTGAGTCACCAAACATGTGTTGTTGACTCTTGGGAACAGACATGCAGCCTTTGGAGAGCTGACATCACAAAAATCATCACCAGACTCTAGAGAACGGGCAGAAGAACAATGGTCCATGACCAAACACCTCCTGGTGATTGACCTTGGCCATGCAAACAGAAGAGCTTAGACCTGATAAAACCAAGGTCTAAGACCAAGTCTAAACGTTCTGGTTGCTAATAAAATGGCTCCTCGTTGCAGGAAACGTTTTGCTTAATGCTAGCTAGCCTCTTGAAACATGCAGTGGTAAAATGGCAGTATGATGCATGTGACCTCTGCTCTTCTAACAGTTTTTTGTGTGGCTGTCTCAGCCGACAGGCAATTACAAGTCTAGATTAGAGCCCATCTGAAACGTTAACCCAACTTCTACACAAAACATGCCCAACAGAGTACTGATCATTGTATATCAGTGGTTAGAGTGGATGCAGAAATGCAACCAATTAGGGATGCACCGATACTAGTATCAGTACCGATACAGAGTATTTGGGCTCGTACTCACCCAAATGCTCTGATGCCTAGCCAGATAACCAAACTTCCGGTATCAGGAAGCCGGGCAGCGAGTCATTACACGCTGCCTGGCATCCTGATTGGGCGGGAAGCCGGCTCCATGCTCCCAATCAGGCAGCATGTAATGACTTGCCGCCTAGTTTACCGATTAGTCGAGAAGGTGGCCAAACGGGAAGCCAGGCGGCGAGTCAATACCTGCCCCTCGGATTCCTGATAGGCTAGAAAACCGGCTCCGTGCTCCCTCATCACCTGATGATGAGGGAGCATGGAGATGGCTTCCCTGCTAATCGGGAAGGCGGGTGGCGAGTCTTTACATGCCGTCTGGCTTCCTAAGTGGGACTTCCGGTATCGGTAAGTGCCGGAAAAAAAATAATCAGTACTCGACACCGAAAAACCGGTATCGGTGCATCCCTAGGCATGCGGCTTCAGTCCTATGTTTTGTCAGTGCTCCCTCACATGAGTTACTCACCAACAGGAACAAATCAACCGCAGCATCAAACATGACCGCACCCTACAGTCTGGGTTCATTTTCTGCTCTCCCTGCTCCCTGCTTTGCATATCAAAGAGTTTGCAGCAGGTATTGGGAATTAGAAATGCACCTCATTTTGATACCTGAATCTACAGGGCCAAGACAGGAGTAAGCATGCAAAAACAAACCACAAACTAGCATATGTTGGTTTAAAGGAGTAAGAGACAGTACTTACCAGCTGCACATAGGCCACCTTGTAATCTGGCCGCTTCACTTTTTGATTCAGATGGTTTCTTTTTCGGTTGCTGCCTGAAATTGCAGTGTTTGCATAAGTTGCTAAATCATAATTTTTCCCACATTTATAAAGCAGTGGTATGGCCAAAAACATTGAACATTTAAAAAAAAAAAAAGCTGACAGCACAATAAAGATGAATGAAAGTGGTTTAAAAAACAAAAAACAAACCTGGGAAGAGAGACCAGTCACATGACCTGTCAAAGTCGCACTATCGTCTCACTTCCAATCAAGAAGCTCCATTCAACAGACAGAACTTCACGCTATAAATAAGTTAGTTATATTAACTAGCATTATTTAGATCGCCATGTCACTTACCAAACTGGATGCGGGTACGCACATATGACACTGGTACATTGTATATACTCAGCAGATAGTTTTGGACATCGAACTTTGTCATTCTGCAGATAGAGAAGACCATGACATGTGGTAAGAATACAACACCATATATACGTCAACAAACAATGTCAAAGTATCACATATCGGACTACATAAGTAAGGATTGAATGTAAAGTTTAAAAACAATACCAGGCAGCAAGTCCTATCAATCTGTGAAAAAGTGTGAATTCAGAAAATGCTACAACTGTGATTAAGTCAAAACCTTCTCAGGTTTAGAAAGTGGACATTTCTGTCTCCCTAAATCCCAAAATTGCTTTCATATCCAATGCCAACCATGTGACCAATGCCATGGCTCTAGTCACGTGGTTCTGTTGATAGGCAACTATCCTCCCCTTTAGAACATATAACATAGCCCATGCCACAATATTAACAATATTATGTTGTAAAGCCTTTGAGGACAGATTGCATGAACAAAGAAAAGTAGCAAGACCCCACTCCTTGGTTCGGTACATCTTCCAACTGCCACATACTGATAGTTAACTGTGAAGACACACATATAAGAGGAATGCATCTTGACAGAAAAAGTGCATGACTGTCCCATTCTTTGAAGTATGCCTACAGTCTGAGGAAGTGAGATGAAGCCCACAGCAAGCCAGCTACCCAAAACATCTGAGCAGCTGCTTTGGATAACGACTCCATGTCTACTTACTAGTGATGCACCGATACTGGTTTTTCGGTATCGAGTATGAGCACCAATATCTTTTTTTATATCGGTACTCCCCAATACAGAGTACCGATACTGACATCCCGAGGTAGCATGCAGGGGCGGATCCAGAGTCTAGTCTCAGGGGGGGGGGGCACTGCCAGAAAATAAGCCCCCCCCCATCTGGCTCTCCCACTGCTACTGTGCCACCCCTTTCCTCTCTCACTGTCACCAGTCAGCATGACCGGACTACCGGCAATTTATGTTAAAATTTTTTGGGGACAGATAGAGTTTTCTTTTGCGGCGATATGTAACATGTGCGGCACAATAGGCGCAACCGTCGTTTTCGCACATAGGCGCACCCGACGCATATCTGCGTGTGTATGTGGGGGACGGGGACTTACATTTTTTTTTCTTTAATTTTTTTTATGCTCTGATCTCCCTTTGATCTTCTGTCACAGAGCCATGCCGGCAGTGACAGCGGCGGCTAATACACGCAATCGGGCGTCTCTAGAGACTCCCGAACGCTTGAATGTAAAGCTCCCGTGTAATTACAACGGCCGGCCGGGAAGCTGCTCGCCGGGATTTTTCAAGCCCTGCCTCTGATCCTCACACACGGCCATATACAGCTGTCAAGCCTTCACAGAGTTAACTGCGGTTCAGTGTAAAAAGCCGGCATATTACTTGTACTGTGCCGGTTTTTTACACTGAACCGCAGTTAACTCTGTGACAGCTTGACAGCTGTATGTCCCGGCCGTGTGCGGGGATGTACTCCTGGTACGGTACTGCGGGTGGGAGCGTCTCTATCTCGGGGGGGGCAATTGCCCCGTTGCCCCCCCCTGGATCCGCCACTGGTAGCATGGGGCCGGCTTCCCAGCCAATCAGCAGGCTTCCTGATTGCCTGGGTAGCCGGTGTTCTGTCAACAGAGAACCAGCTCCACACTCCTTTGTGACACAGCAAAGCACCCTGACTTCCTGAACAATCAGGAAGCTGGGAGGCGGGTTATGACCCGCCACCCAGCTTCCTGATTGGCCAGGAAGCCAGCTCCATGCTCCCTCGCGGCACTGCCAGCCAGAGGGAATCTCCCTCTGACCGGAGGTTCCAGTATCAGTGTACGTATCGGAGCATTTGGACGAGTACTAGCCAAGCTGCTTCGCAGTGACGCTAGGCAGCGTGAAGCTGGCTTCCTAGCCAATATGGAAGCCGGGAGACAGGTCATGACCTGCTGCCCCCCTTCCTAATTGGTCAGGAAGCCAGCCTGTGTGAAGCCGGCTTCCTAGCCCATCGGGAAGCTGGGAGGCGGGTCATGACCCGCCACCGGCTTCCTAAGTGGCCGGGAAGCTGGCTCCATGCTCCCACGCAACCCTTGCGGCCAGAGGGAATCTCCCTCTGACCGGAAGTTTCGCTATTGGGGTAAGTATTGGAGCATTTGGTGCTAGTACGAGTACTCGCCCAAATGCTAAGTATTGGAACTGATACAGGTATCGGTGCATCCCTACTACCACACCTACTGTATACTTACCATAAACACACTATAGAAATGTGTGAACTTATCTTTACCTGAAGTCAGAAAATGCTAAACCATTAGGGTAACATAAAACAGACTTAATTCAAAACACAAGCCATCAATTCACTGCTGAAAGGCACATGGCTAAAAGCCTGTGGCTGCAAGCTTAACACTGGACTCTGCTGGAGAGCCAAAGAAACTTTGTTATGCATTTTTGTGGTTTTTAAGTAAAAGAACGATCCTGTAAAAGAATTTGTTTTCTTGGTGTCTCTCAAAACAGAAACCCTAACAATCTGTCTGAAAAGACCATTTCCTTGTGTATACAGAAACTGAAAACATACAGAATGGTGCTCTGTCTAATGGTATATATGTGGCTGCTGATATGATATACGTGAACAGAGCCATCTCTAAGGAAGTCATCACCTTGAGTGTACTTGACATAAGAAGCGGTACTTCCATGCAGTAAGGTGGTCATAGCACATATATGTTTTTAAACAGCCTCATTCCTGATGTGCTTAGTCAGTAATCAGTCATGAGGAAAACACTCTGACATGTGTGGAATGAATAATCAAGGAGGTATGGCAGAGGAGAAGGAGCCTTTATTGAACATTTTTGTGGCTCGGCAAGCTAACCATGATTTGCCATACCAATCTAGAAACCAACAGACAATTCCTGCAACAATTGAAAGTTCAGTAAGTGGTAAAGATAGAAGCTTTGTGTTCATTTGCCTTGTGTGCATTAAACAGTAAAGCTTACGTTAAAAGTGTGTGTCAAGACAAAACCTTTTTTTCTTAGATTTCATTGGCGGGGGGGGGGTCCATCCATACGTGCACTGCTTACAGCTCCATCGCATGGCATGCCATGTAGAGGTGCCTGGACTGGAATGATGTCACATTCTGGCTCCTGGCACCTCTATAGGGCACGCAAGGGAGCTGTACAAGCAATGCACATATGGATGGAGCTCCGTCACACAGCCCACACTGGACCCCAGCCTGAAGATCCACTCTGGTTCTCATAAGGTAGGGAGACTGGGTAGATCTTTAAAAGTTTTTGGAGCGTGTATGTGTGTCCACTGCGATTAAAGACTGTACTACGCATGCGCACCTTCTGCGAGTTATGGCGCGGGAGGTGCATTGCATTAATTTGAATGGCTCCCCAAAAGCTCACAGTTCAATCACCCGCACCGGAATGAGTGGTTCTGCAATGCCATGCATGCCAGTGCAGTGGGACCTGGGGCACGACTTAATGACTAACGAGGTTACACAGGTTGAGAACCACTAGTTTACTGGATATGTAGTTGAATATCAGAGTTCAGCTGTAAATGAGGTTCATTGAGAAATAAGACCAGTCACAAGTGGGGTACTACAAGGCTCTGTACTAGGTCCTGTTCTATTTAATCTGTTGGTAAGTAAGTGACATAACAAAGATTAGGAGGGCATGGTATGTATTTTTGCTGATGACACACAGGTATGCAATAGGGTTAATTTTCCTGGAGGTGTTTGTAACATGGAACATGATTTGGCATTGCTGGAAGATTGGTCAAAGCATTGACAACTGCAGTTCACTTAGTGAAAAAGAATCCTTGAGGGTAGAGTGTTGGCCAGAACTACAGAGGAAAAAGACTTGAGGTGCTTTGTTTTGGAGGATTGCAAAATGAGCAAACATTGTGGGGAAAGTAAATAGAATTGTGGCATGTATCACTAGAGGGGTCACTAGCAGGAAGGAGGTCCTGACTCCCTTATCCAGATCTTTAAGTAGACCTCATTTAGAATACTGTATCCAGTTCTGCAGGCCTCACAAAAAGATATTGAATAGAATGAGTCCAGAGACAAGCAATAAAAATGGTGATGGGTCTGAGGGATAAAACATATCAAGAGGGGCTACAGGAACACAATAAACAGTCTAGCGGGGCATGGCTGAATCCTTTAAATACATTAAAAGTGTGAATAGGGTTCAGGAGGACAGTAATTTTAATAGGAAAAAAAAAAAGGTAAACAAACGCAGGACCTCAAACTCACTGGAGGAAAGTTCATAACTAAACTTTGAAAGTATTAATTTTACTTAAAGAGTAGATGACGCAATGACCGTGCTTGGTACAATAGACAAAGACCTATTCTAAAAAAGGTTAAAAAAGAAACAAATAAAAAAAAAAATGCTTATCGTTGCCGGATTGGCTGGAAGTACCCTTCCCGGATTCAAATCAATCTCCGTCCACCAGACCATCGAGATCCCGGGGACGTCGTAGAAGTCGTCAGAGATCTACTACTCATCCGTCTCAGCGGGCCCAACCGATGGAGCCGGAGACTTGAACTGACACCCTACCGGCCAAACCTCCGTTATGGCCATAGTCTTGTTGATAACCTGATCCGACCGTGCCCATCCCCGACGACCTTGCTGAGAGAAGCTTAGGGCTGAGGCCCGAGGCACATGCCTTATTGCCGCAGCCTTCTGTGCCCTCCCTACAGAGGACCTTCCTTAACAATGCACGTTGGGCACATACCCACAGTTACACACTTGCTTCCGTTGATGCATATTATAGCTTTCTAAGGGTTTGGGTTGACAGGATCGAGCCATATGGCGGATTGGTAGTGCCTAGGGTTTGGCTGGATAGCTGAGATCAGCATCATGGCCGCCGGATCCATCCTTGTCTGGTAGTAATGATACCTCTGTAAACATATGCAATGTTGTTACTGTATGCTGTTGTTCTACACTCCACCTAGGTTTAGTGATAGATAGCTTCCAAACGGGGCTGAAGTTCTGGTGCCTCGGGGAAAGGGGTTTTTTTTTTGTTCAACTTCATCCCCCCTTTCAAACTCCTGGAAACTAGTCAGGCTGTGGATCGGGGGGACTCATGGGTGGGACAGATCACAATTTGCACATAGCGAGGGGCGGAGTAGATGCTGTTACGTCCTACTCACCCTGGAATGCATCTCTTCCCGTCGCTGTATCCAAACTACTCCCCCGCTGTGAGTGTTTCCTCTCCTTACCGGGGATATCTCATAGGAACACTCTTGTTTTGTGTTTGTAAACTTCTCCCACACGGTGGTCAGACACATTCTCACCTCCGTGTGCTTGTACTCCTTGTTTGTCTCTCCCCTATTTTTGTTTTTTTTTAGTTCAACTTCATCCCCCCTTTCAAACTCCTGGAAACTAGTCAGGCTGTGGATCGGGGGGACTCATGGGTGGGACAGATCACAATTTGCACATAGCGAGGGGCGGAGTAGATGCTGTTACTTCCTACTCACCCTGGAATGCATCTCTTCCCATCGCTGTATCCAAACTCCTCCCCCGCTGTGAGTGTTTCCTCTCCTTACCGGGGATATCTCATAGGAACACTTGTTTTGTGTTTGTAAACTTCTCCCACACGGTGGTCAGACACATTCTCACCTCCGTGTGCTTGTACTCCTTGTTTGTCTCTCCCCTAATCTCTCTGACAGATTTTGAAACCACATGCCTGAGGGCAGAACCGACTAGACACACCCTGTCACACATGATGAAATGCCTACGCCATCCACCCGACCTCACTCACCCGTACTTTGTGAGACAGTGGGCCGATGACCTGGAGGTAGACTTCAGCCCTCAACAGGTGGACCGTATGATATGTTTTGCCCTTAGGTCATCTGTGTCGAACAAGTATCAAGAAGCTGGCTATAAGCTTCTGACCAGGTGGTATAGAGTACCAACGACACTCCACGTAATGTACCCATCTGTATCTGAGATTTGCTGGCGGTGTGGAGATGAACCAGGCTCAATATTACACGTTTTTTGGTCATGCTCGAAGGTCAGACCTTTTTGGCTCCAGATCGCCACACTGATCAGTAAAATTACGGGCCTTACGCTGCCATTCACACCAGCGGTATACCTCCTCCACTTGGCTCCCCTTTCACATAAACAATACCGACGCTCATTGCTGATCCACTTGTTGAATGCTGCGCGGGCCTGCATTCCGGCTCTATGGAAACAGGCCGTGCAGCCATCGGCAGGGATGTGGGCTGGACGAGTGGAGGAGATAAAGCTGATGGAGGACCTGACCTCCTCCCTAAATGGGACACAGGCCAAATTTGTGGCTACTTGGAGTGCGTGGTACTTGTTCAGAGACTCAACAGACTTCCGGACGGAATGTCGGGGTTGAGGTTCGAGATGGCATAGCTTCCACTTGGAGACCCCCCTTTTATTCAGTGCTGTTAAGAATAGGAGTAATCCAGGCCGGATGGCCTGGAATCGACCGACACCTGGAATTGTTCTTTTCCCCTTCTACCCTTATGTGTTCTGTGTTGTACATTCTTTGTACTGCTTTATGTTGTGTTATTTTATCCATGTAGGTTTATGTTTTTTATTCCCCTCCTGTTATAAAAATATAAAATGCCTTAGGGGATGAGAAGAAGAGAGCTTCATTAACACCTGACATGGCGGAAAGTACGAATATTGTTGACTACATCTGCTTTAGAAATGACCTCAATGCTTCCACCGGTTTTTATTCTATTTCTGTTTTGTTTTCAGCTATTTACTGTCATGACTTTACGGTCGGGTATGTGGATTGAAATTGTGACCCATATATTATGATTGTACTCTCTGTTTCTCACCTCTCTGTTTATAAATAAAGAATTTAAAAAAAAAAAAAATGCAAAGAAAAGAAATTAAGAAAGGGCCAGACTCGATGGACCACTTGGTCTGTTTCTACCATCAATCTTCTGTCTTTCTACGTCTATGTACATGTGTTTCTCACTTCCTGTCTGGTAAAACCATTGTCAGCTGGACAGTAAGAGAGGAAAAATCTCTAACAGAGCCCTGAATAGCAGTAAAAATCGGACGAGTTCCAATTCTTCCCCCAACTTCACCAAACACCAAAAAAACATTTTTTTGCTAATACTTTAAAGCTGAACCCTAGACTGATATAAAAGGCACAAATAAATGCAGTAATCATCAATATATCAGTACATGCAATTACAAAAGCAAGTGGTTTTAATACCCAGATTCATCTTAGTACCAACCATTTGCAGTCTATTGTACAGTCTGTACAGCAAAGCTCAGAGGGGAGGAGGGAGAAGCAACACAAGGAGACAACCAGGTGTTCTGCAGTAGAAGCCGCATACCGTTAGGATGAGAGATCAGAATTGGAGAGAGATAAGCTTATTGTTGTACTGCTTCTGCTTTTACTGCCCAGTCACAGCGTGCGGAGGGGACCTGTAAGTGAAAACTGCAGGTCCCCTTCCCTGCTAGAGTCCTCTGCCATGGGCTGAGCTGTGATACTGGCCTAGATGGCCAAAAATCCAAATCCTTTGGCAGGTAAAAAAACTTCCAATGTTATATATTAATCTGTGTATTTAGCCATGTGCCTGGAGTTCAGCTAGAAGTCATTTCTACTCTTGAATATACTCTACTCTCGTGTTGAATATGTTTCCTAACTGCTTGAAAACCCCTCTGATTCCTAGACTGCAAGCAATGCCTCCAGAGCTCATGAAGATTCTGCCCACTCCGGACAGAACCACACCAAAACACTGCCAGAGTAGGTGCATCTACTTACTCAATAGGGATACGGAATTGCACTGTGTCTGAGGGCTGCTCTTTGCCGGGTCTGACCAGGGTCATGACGAAGTTGGTTCGAAACACACGCAACTGTGGATTTCCAAGCTGGTAAAGTGGATATCTAGAACAGAAGAAGAAAATTATTAAACGCTAGAACAGCTAACAAGGCAGATACAAGGCCACAATTTAAAAACAATATCAAGCTTTTAAGGAGAACTCCGGGTAATATTTAAAGTAACCCTTGCAGTGGAGCTAACCCGCTAACCCCCTGCACTGCAAGGCTTAACTGCTCATTTTGGTCTAGTGCTGAAAACAACAAAGATATGCTCACCTGATACTCTGAGCTGACTGGCTTTGACAGTGCTCCATCCAGCCCGTCTTCTCCTCCGCTTCAGTGATGGTATGTCCCTCTGCGTCCTCAGGTCCTATACACTTTGTATAGAATATGATGAGTTACAGGACCTTGGACCGCTGCAGCAGAGGGGGAAGCGATGCTCCAGGGACCGGTCAAAGAGTAAGCCGGATCGGTTAGTGTATGTAGCACTAGTCCAATGTTCTGCATGTTATGCATCAGTCTCCTCTGATATGTGCTGTCAAAAATTCAAGATTTCAGGAAAAGCTTCATGCAGGCAGAGCGAAAACATTGGAGTCAGGGGTGTGGAATTCCTATCGCCCGACGCCCGGGACAGGCAGTTTCGGGCGTCGGGCGAGTAGTTTTTTTCTATATTTAGCCCGGCTGCGGGCAAGCAGCACAGCTACATGTAGTATGGGAGCCGTTCCGTACAAGTGGTTTTGAACGGCTGTACAGCCGTCCAAAATCACTTGTAACGAGCCTGAATCTCACTCCCCTCGCTCCCCTCTCCTCCTCCCCCTATCTATCTTATCTCCGGCGGCCGGCCAGCGGGCCGGCCATGTACCTCTCCCGGCTGTCTCTGGCTGCACGCTGGCTTCTTTTCTGCCCTGGTCTTCTGGGTCCCCCCCTCTTGTGGGGGACCCGGGACCAGGCAAATTAGATTAGGTTACAGCACGGAGCAAAGAACTCTTCTTCTTCTTGTGTGAAGTGATACAGGAATGCAGCCTTCCTGTCACAGGAGAACGAGCACAGCACTGTGCTAGAACTCCTGTGTTGGAGGTGATAGGGTCAATAAAGAGAACCTGTCACCTCCAAATGCTTTCACACAGGGGCTTGTTAGCCCTTGTGTAATGGCAAAAAAGTTAAGTGAAAAAAAAAGCAAAAAAATAAATGAATTAAAAATGTAAATACATAAAACTGGAAAAAATAAAAAGTTGATAAAGTAAAAAAATAATAAAAATAAATGAGAATGAAAAATAACCAATATTAGATTAGTAAAAACAAAAAGTAAAAAAAACAAAAACCCTGCTGCACCCACCATCTGCATGCATGGGGTATTGTGTGCGATTGGAGTGGGTGATCCGTTGCATGGCAATTGTGCACAAAATCGTGTGGATGGCCTAGCAGTCACAAAATCACATACCACCGCCGATCGCACTGGCGGTGCCATTATTGTCTAATGGCACCCCAGTCACGCCTGGCAGATTGCGCGGTTTCCCGCCACAATACTGCCCGTGCAATCAGATATAATCACGGTTGAAAACACTGCATGGTGCGTGTTGCGAAAAAAGGTACATGTACCTTTTTTCAGTGATTGCCACACGGATGTAACTCCACTGAAATCAATGGGGCCGCGCGACAACTGCTGCATGCAACCGCACACGATCGCCCAAGTCTGCACCAGCCCTAAAGGGTAAATTCACTTTCCCAAGTCATTTGGAAAAATGGAATTACCTGCTCAAATCTGGCCCCGTACCCCTCCCGCTATACTTACCTTTCAGGGAACGGTCCTTCCCATCTGCCAATATGGGTGTACCATCTGTAATTGTGCCATGTATTCTGACTTTCGCTCGCAAATTGCAAGCACTCGTTGGTCAGCGCAGTCACCTGACGCCACTGACCAATGAGAAACTCTTCTTGGCACTGCCAAATATGGTTTGGGTAAAATACATTTTTTTGTATCAGGACAAGTAGATGGGGCCCCCGCTTTAGTCCTTGGACAAGTAGTTTTTTCCAAAATTTCCACACCCCTGGGATTACAGTGATCACCAAAAGACCTAAAAGGAGAACTATGGGGTTAAGGCTTTTCTGGATGAGTTTGGCCACCCCTACCCTTCTTTGTCCATAACTAAAAAAACGATGGCTATGCAGTTTAAAGGAGAACTATGGGGTCAGTGTTTTTCCCCATAGTTCTCCTTAGGGTAACGGGAGGACACAAACTAGCATCCTCCCGTCACCCTAGGCTCAGTATACCGCGAGCTATATACCGCGAGCAGTATACCCAGCTGCGTGAGATGCCGCAGTATACCGCAAGCTACTGCTCGCTGTATACTGAGGCGCCGCAGCTGAAGCGGATCCCGACAATTGTGCCGGGATCTGCCCAGCTGCGTGACTGACAGCTGGCACTGCCTATCTAGAGGCAGAGCCAGCTATACCTGCCCCCTCCCCCGTCCGTTCCGCCAGTCAGCGCTGGCGGGTCACAGCGGGGATGGGGGAATCCAGCCCCTCCCCTGTCACGGCAGAGAGCTGTGACAGGATCGAGAAGTGAGCGAACGCCGGTATGTGTTCACTCACCTCCCGATCTACTGAGCCGACCTGTGACAGTCTCATTGTCACAGGTCGGCTAGAACTATGAGGTGAGTGAAAAGCACTCACCTCATAGTTCTCCTTTAAAACACCCCCCCAAAAAAAAATGAAATTCCATTCCTCCCATACGTGCACGTACTAACGCAAACATGCATTGGGTACGTCTACATACGAAAACAATAATTGCACCACACGTTAGGTATCAGTGCAGACACTGGAGCGAGAGCAATAATTCTAGTTACCATTAAATCTGAACTGAAGACCTGTGCAGGCTGTTAAAGCGCCACCTATTGACAATTTTAGGTACCATCGTTTGTGAAATCGTCATTTCACAGGCACGCATACTTTTTTTTAAACTTGACATGTTTGGTTATCTATTTACTCGGCATAACCTCGTCTTTTATATTTTACAAAAAAAATGATTAATATTTTGTGTTTCTGTGCACTGAAATTAACTTGTATTTTATACACAGTTGTGCTGATACCATGTTACATAAAAAATTGCAAATGCCTCCATTTTATTTTACATGGTCTCTGCTTTTAGGGAATAAATAATTTGGGGGGGTTAAGTAATCTGCAAAAGCTGCTCTGGCAGCGAAAGAGTTACTGAATAGAGAGCTGCATTGTTTGGTGCCTTTTAGATCTTCCTGGAGTTTAGCTTTATGCAGGTCTGTACCTATGAGATGATCCAATATCTGGGTTAACAAAGAAGCGACCATTTTCCACCAAAACATAGCTTTTGGGAATTCCCAAAAGATATGAAAACATGACCCCTATGGCTTAAAATGTATTTCCACTTTTGTAGTTCGATCTGAGAAAACTTCTCTATATGTTTGTTATGTGTTCCTATTCACACAGCATACCAAAAACACATTTCGAGAAATATATTTCTTACCTTTTAGATGTTTCTTTGGTGGCGGCCTTTGTGCAGATTCCAGGCTACTCTAAGTTTGAAAGTGAAAGTAGAAGGACAAACTGAGGGACAGACTGCGCTTCCTTCCATTAACATACAATACTTCTAAGTAGGGATGCACCAAAATGAAATTTTTAGACGGAAACCAAAATTTAAATATTTGTCCGGCCAAAACAGAAAATAATATTTTTTATTTTCCCAAACTTTTGAAATTAATTTGTTACTCGTATTTTTTTATTTTACGCTTAGGGGCTTCGGGGAAATATTGGGGGTTTAAACAGATCCCTGATATTTCCCTTAAAATAGAAAAAGAGATTGAGGACAGAGTCCTCAATCTCTTTTTCTGCAGCCACTGTTATAAATGAACAGGAATCCTCTCTGCTCCAGTCCATTCATAAACTGTGGGAAAAGTATGAGGTACTATGTCCACAATCATGAATGAATAGGAAGTGATATAGAGCACTTCCTGTTTATTCATAACCATGGACAAAGTAAGCATACTATGTCCTCAATTATTTACAAACACTCAGCAATCAGTACTGGTCGAGCTTTTCTCCACATATGGCTTCCTGAGAGGTCTCTTCTCCCTGCACCACCCGCTCGGTATCCCGACATCCTCGTCCTTCATTCCCACTCAGCCTCCTGACAGCTTCTCTCCTCCCTGCTGGGTTCCAGCAGCTGGATCGGCTCTGTGTCCCCTTCATTCCCCACTGCCTCTGCTGACCCAGGAAGGGAGAGCAGCAGGGATCGGGGGGGACACAGCCCGGGATAGGGATGCATCGCGTTTTCGTCCACTTTGGTACTATCGGCATTTTGCACATTTTACCATTTTTACCCTAAATGTTCCGGCAGCCGAAATTTCGGTGCATCCCTACTTCTAAGCCATTAACTCAAATCTAGTTTACAACTGATGAGATCTGTCAGCATAGCACAGACAGGGTTAATTAGAGTAAATATAACTTCCCACAGCCCTCTCCTTAACATAGATGGGAAACTAGGTAGGGTTTTTAAAGGCTACGTTTACCTTTCTAAACATGTTTCCTATTACACACATATTTAGGTGGTCAGATCACAACCGCCCTCCAACACCACCACCACCCCCACCCCCCCTCACTTACCTGAATCTCAGGGTTCCTCTCCCCGAAAGCTTGTGCACATTTTTGACAATGGGGTGGCTGTTACTGAAAGGCCATACCTCAGTACAGACATGGATGGAAGGAAGAGTCTGCAGGACCCAGAACATTGCAACCATGATCCACTGATGGCAGTTGCAATGCTTTATTGGATCTGATGCAAAAAAATAATAAATGTAATTTTTTTTTCTTTTATGGAGAAGTGTGCATTTATTATTTTTTTTAAAAGGTGTAATTTCCCTTTAAGCTAATATAAAGCATTTTAGGTTTAAGTTATGCAACGTGAATGGAAACATAAATATAAAATAGGTGTTAACCCAATCGGGCTGCAAAAGTGGAAATACACGTTAAGACATCTCCAAATAAAGTTGGGAAGATCAATATTGTGGAGATCCTCTAAAGCAGGGGTGTCAAACTCAATTTAATCGAGGGCCGCATCAACATTATGGTTGCCCTCAAAGGTATCTGTAAGACTATATAAATGTATCTAATCTTTATCATAATTGCCTCTGCATTCAATTATCACTGGTTTTAGTAATAACTTAATACCTAGATCTGAAAGTAGAAGTCTAGGAAATGGCCTGGTGGGCCGGATTCGCCTGCTGGGCCTTGAGTTTGACACATGTGCTCTAAAGCTTTGTACCAAAACATAACATGGTAAAGTGGCTTTCTTTGAATGGATGTTCCCGACCACCTTATCTGTGCGAGGAACAACATCTGCTCTTCTATTTCTACCACCTTGGTGTCTACAAATGGAATGGGGTGGGAACTGTAAAGGTATGCCTCAAAATAAAAGTGTGAGCGATGAAGATTCACCACCAGATGTAAGTACATTCGGCATGCTTGAAGGAATACTGCTATGCTACCAGAAAAGTGAATGTTGCCATCTAGTGGACATATTGTAAAATGAATTAAAATCAATAGGAAGAGAAAAGTAATGAAAGTTAAAAGGAGAACTATGAGGTGAGTGCTTTTCACTCCCCTAATAGTTCTAGCCGACCTGTGACAATGAGACTGTCACAGGTCGGCTCAGTAGATCGGGAGGTGAGCGAACACATACCGGGTTTGCTCACCTCTCGATCCTGTCTCTGCCGTGACAGGGGAGGGGCTGGATTCCCCCCTCCCTGCTCCGATCTGCCAGCGCTGAATGGCGGAACGGACGGGGGAGGGGGCGGGTACAGCTGGCTCTGCCTCTAGATAGGCAGAGCTAGCTGTCACTCACGCAGCTGGGCGGATCCCGTCGTCTAAGTTGGGATCCGCTCCGGCTGCGGCGTCTCAGTATACCGCGAGCTGTAGCTCACGGTATACTGAGCTTAGGGTAACGGGAGGACGCTAGTTTGTGTCCTCCCGTTACCCCAAGGAGAACTATGGGGAAAAACACTGACCCCATAGTTCTCCTTTAAACTGCATAGCCATCGTTTTTTTAGTTATGGACAACGAAGGGTAGGGGTGGCCAAACTCATCCAGAATTCAGGAGCCGGCCTGTCCAATCTAGGAGTCGGCATTTATTTTTTTTAAGGAGCCAGCTCCACTGACAACTATAGAAAACGTCAAAAGTTGCGCGCCAGCGGTAATTTTATGGAGCATTGGCGACCTGGCTCCTGGGATTTGTCTAGCCTTGAGACCCCATTCATACTGTGCTACATCAAAAAAAGTGCTTTTACAGTGCTTTGAGCTGAGCGACATTGACCTAAAGTTCAAATTTGGTGCGCTACGTAGCGCTTCTTATGGCAATCAAAGCCTATTGGAGCCAAATCGCACAAAATCCGCTAGAAAAATGGGTCATGTTCAAGCGACAAGCCTGAGCTACAAGCTACGGGCAACATTGAGCTGTGTGATGTGAACAGCTCCATTGAAACGCATTGAACAAGCTACATTAAGTGATTTTTTTTTAGCGGAAATTGCGCTACAAATCGCTCAGTGTGAATGGGGTCTGAAGCAGGGAATGGTGAAAACCCATATCAGACCCTAGGCCCATAGACGCAGGAGGACGAGAAAGGAAATCTCCCAGTGACAAGTGTAACCAGAACAGAAGTCCCCTTTGGAAGATTTACTCTCATCTAGTGTTCTGGTGAGGCTCTAAAAGTTTGGATTTACCCTCACTTCCTGTCTCAGTGATGGTGGTCACCAGAACAAAGAGAGAGAGGGTGAACCTCCGCAGCAGACAACGGAAGGAATAGAAAATTAAAAACTGTCAGGGGCTCTAAACCCTTTTTAGGTCTATCCAAAGAAAAAAAAAAGTTTGGCTTTTACACTCACTTTAAAGTATAACTAAATGCAAATCTTTTTCTTAAATTTGGATAGAGTGGTGAGAGGTTAGAACACCTGTCAGGTTATTATTGTTTTCCGTGTCCCTGTTGGGCATATTCACTCTCTCTAATTGCCCTGATCACCAAAGTCACCAGGAATGAAAGTCCGACGTTTTGAGCGACCACCAGAACAGGAATAGAGGGGAAATCGTCCAATGGGGACTCATGTTCCTGTGTCAACTAAGCGGGGATTTTCCTTACACTGGAAAGATACCCTGTCACTTTCTGTGGAGTCTACAAGACAGGAAGTGAAATGTCCCTAATGCGACATGGATGGTCAAACAAAACCCCAAAACCTCCCCTACTCTATCCAAAATAAAAGAAAACATTGGCTTCAGATACACTTTATGGGTCAGTTGACACAAGAAGCATTGGGATTTGCTGCAGTGGGAAGCCTTGCTCTGCACAGCCCCAACACAATACAAGGCAAAGTGAAGTCAGGTCACACAAACACTTAGCGGTGGTGTGCACTGGAAAAAAAGAAAAGTTCTACATGCAGTTTCTGTATTTGATCTGCCCTGCAGACAGTGACACCGGAACTGACTTCATTGTAAACAAGTTGATAAGTCTCATCTACGCCTTGGGACTGTGTGGAGCAAGGATGCCCCGCCCAACACATCTGGTGTGAATGACCCCTTAAAGCATATCTCAAGGCAAAAGTTTCCTTTGATTTTGGATAGAGTAGCGAAGGGTTAAAACCACTAGAAGAAAAAAAAAAGAATGAAAGTGATATTACAGTCACATTTGTTAAGCTATTTCAAAAGCTGCTGCCAGTCAGAAAGCTGGGTGCCGCATGATTACACGGTACAAGATCCTCTTGTACCCCATGTCAGCTTCTCACACAGACCTTGTGTACATTCACCAGCAGGAATCTTTATTCTGAATGATGTGTTCCAGCTGATCCTGGATGTTTGTAAATAACTAAATCCCGCCATCACTTTTACACATACATCATCTGCTGCTGCTGCTACTCTGAACAGCCTGGTATACAAAAGCAGATACAGAGCTGTGAACGGCTGGCCAGCATGTGCACTCACTGGAGCCCTCAGTAACCCCTTCCCCACATAGAAAGGCAGCACGATGCATGCTGGGTCTTGTAGTTCAGCAGAGTCACCCCGAGCTACAGAAGGCCTCATCTCATCAGTCCAACCTGACCATAAGATATTCCACATGACTACAGGGCATTCGTGTCACTCACATCACTCTGTTGGCCATCTTCTCACGGTGACCCGCACTCCTCCACCTGTCATATCCCTCTCCTGCACTTCCTGAGCCTGCAGCGCCACCCACAGTCCCGGAGGACCAAAAGGCTCTTACAGCGCCATCCACAGTCTCGGAGGACCAAAAGCCTCTTACAGTCCCGGAGGAGCAAGATGCTCTTACAACGCCACCCAGAGTATTGGAGGACAAATAAGGCCTTACCGTACAGTCACAGCGCCACCTACAGCGCCGGAGGACCAAGAGGCCCTTCGCTTGCCAGCGGCTGCGATGCCTGCAGGCACAGCGCCACCAGCCGGCTCGGAGGAGCGGAGGCCCCTACAGTACCCACTGCCCAGAGGATTCCCCCAATACTTCCTGTACAGTGTTCGGGGTCAGGGGGCCGAGGTTCCGGTGCTCGGCAAGCCGCTTCTATGGAACCCTGCGCTGGAGGCACTACAACCACGGATCCCGCTAAGGTACGTCTGCTCCGCAAGCGTCCCGGGATGGGGCAGTGCTATTCCCTACACTGGGGGCGAACTACAGGTCCCAGCATGCCCTGCGGTGTTGGCATATGTAGCTGCTTCACATGTTGATGCTGCTCAGCCCTCGATATGGTAGTGTGCCAGTTGTCTAAATCACTGCAGATATCCATAAACAAGCAACATGGAGGATGGCATGGCCGAGCTCTCCTGAAAATGCTACTCGCCTGGCTGCCCTGCTGATCCATTGCTGGAAGCACGATCGGAGTCACAGTCCAGGAAATTCAGGGCTCTTTATTCCAATGAGGACACAGGTACTGAAGCCAAGGTTTCAGCAATAAAAATAAATGCTGTGTGTCCTGTCAGTGGTCCCCATACAAACTCATTTTCTTCACAGCTTGTAATAAAGACCGGTCACTGCTGCTCTGTTTAGGAGGGTGACTGGTCTTGTCTCCGCCCCCTCCTGTAGTTTCCTACAGCAGCCTGTAGTGGGTGGAGCCTGCTGGGCCCCTCCCACAGCTCTGCTCTCTCGTTTTAAAGGCTATATCTGGGATTGCAAAGGCATTTCATGCCAACAAAGTGGATTTCTATCATTTGTGGCTATTGAGGAATATATTTTAATGTGTTTGTGCCCGGTGGGAGAGAGAGCAATGATAAAACAGAATGTCAGGTTTATCCCAGGCCATCATGGGCTCCACCCCTGAGCTCTGGCCCTCCAGCTGTGCTTTAACTACAAATCCCATTATGCTTCTGCGAGTCATGCCTGTAACTATCAGTTTTGCAATGCCTCATGAGACTTGTAGTTCCACAACAGAGTTGCCCACCCCTGGAATAAAGGCTTCAGTAGGATGATTAACGTGTTTGTGTGTGACACGTGTTACTGAAGGATCAGGTTCTATACGTCACTTTCCAACGGCCTGTGTGTGGAAACGATTTTGCTTCCACCAGGCCATAGTAGGTAGACCCTTCAAGTCTGGGGGGGTGGGGGCTGTCACATAACCTGTAACCCCACCATTGTTTATTACAGGTATCTGCATTCACATCAGTCCCTGCCCTCCTGGAGCCTACAATCTAAGGTCCCTATCTCACATTGGAGGGCCAATTCAGACGGGAGCCAATTAACCTTCCAGCATGTCTATGCAGTGTGGGAATCACACACAAGCAGAACATGCAAACTCCATGCAGATTGTGTCCTGACTGGGATTTGAACCGGGTACCCCCAGCACTGCGAGGCAGAAGTACTAACCACTACACCACCATGCTGTTCTGTTCTGTTCCTCTTCCCGGCTTTTACATCATGTTTCGACATACAGGCCCGGGAAGAGGAACCACAGCGTGCAGTGGGGGAGCAGGTATCCTACAAACCTGCAAGTATGGAATACCTGGAGAGTAAAACGAATGTTCTTAGTGTAAATCTGGTCAAATGTTCTGCAATCGGTATAGTCATACAGCTCAGAACGAATGGCGACAGTACCACATTATGGCCACTAGATGGAGCTGAGGACCATAGGGGATAATAAGATTTCAAGTAGAACATTTTTTTAACCCTTGCAGTGGAGCAACCCCCCGCACTGCAAGGGTTAACTGCTCGCTTTGGTCTAGGGAGGAAAATAAGCAAGTTATACTCGCCTGATCCTCCGAGCTGGCTGGGTGTGACAACGCTCCCCCCTACCTGTATTCTTCTCCGCTGCAGCAATGGTATGTCCCTTGCGTTCTATATACCTTGTATAGTACATGATGGCTCAGGAACTTTAAACTGCTGCGATGGTATGTCCCTCACGTGCTATATACTGTGTATAGTACATGATGGCTCAGGGACATTGGACTGCTGCAGTGGAGGGTGGGGGATGCTGGAAGGACCGTCCAAGTCAGCTGGCTCAGATCGGGTGAGTATAATTTTTTCATTTTCCTCCGTAGACCAAAATGAGCAGTTAACCCTTGCAGTGTAGGGGTAGCCTCACTACATGGGTTTATAACAATGTTGCCTGCAGTTCTTCTTCAATGTTACAATTCAAGAGAACACTGGAGGAAATGTAACCATTGCTATCCCCGTAGTATCAATGGTTACTTTTATATACTCATTCCCTCAAGCCGTCCCTGGAATTGTAACATTGTTCCTCCTTATTAACATATATTATTTCCTCTGATTCTCAGCGCCATCTAGTGGCCGTAATGTGGTCAGTTCACCATTCACTTTTCTTTATGAATATAGAAGACCAGAAAAGAACTTTTGCTTTTGTCCCAATCTAACAACATCTGGTCAGCTCGCACAGAACGAACGTACATGCAGTTTTGATGGACAAATAAGCAATGCCGTTTTTATAAATCAACTCCTAAACTTCCTGTGATCACTGACTTATTGATTCGTCTTCCTGTGCCCCTTCTATCCACACATGCATGAAAGTGAATGTTAGTT